TCCCCCTCTGGTTCTGCGTCACACACTGACCTGCAGGGGGCTTCAGCTTCTCGTTTTTCTTTTTCCTCCACTTCCAGGGTTTGAAGATGCGTCCCAGGCTGGCCAGTTTGCTGTTGCGTCGGACGGGGGGCGTGCGGACCCCCGAGACCAGGCAGCCTGAGTGGAGCGCCCTCTGCTGGTCCATCACATCTACAGCAACACAACACAACACACACTTAAAGGTCACCTATTATGCAAAATATACTTCTTCATGTCTCTTCTACATCAACATGTGTCCCCTCTTCTTCATGTCTCTTCTATATCAACACGTGTCCCCTCTTCTTCATGTCTCTTCTACATCAGCATGTCCCCCCTCTGTGTAAAGAGATTCTGAAAGTTTCAGGAACAAAGATTCTCTCTCTTTTTGTCCTGATCCATTTATATAAAAACCTGTTTGAAAATGAGCTGATCAGATTTTGGCCACTTTGTGATGTCATAACGATGTTTTGGCTTGTGTAACCATTAGCCAATCAGCAACCAAGGTAACCCCCCCCCCACCTTATCACCTGAATCTCCTCCTAGAGCACCATTGTGTTCTTTTTAACCAAATGTCTCTCAGAGACATGTTTTGTATATATCTGAGACCTGTAATATATTGATGAAAAACAGTATAACAGGGGACCTTTAAGATAAGATAAGAAATACTTTATTTATCCCAAATTGGGAAATGTTTGCGTTGCAGCAGCACAAAAAGACAAGGCATTGTACATTGGAGAAGTTTACTGTAAAAGTACAGATACTCGTGTTTAAAATACTCTGGTAAAAGTAGAAGTACTGACTAAACTTCTTTACTCAAGTAAAAGTAAAGAGGGCTTTGAAATGTACTTCAGTAAAAAGTACCCATAACTAGCAGCTGTTTTAAAGAGTACCTGACCTCCCTTTATATTAATAGAACAATAATGTCATTGTTAGCTAATGAATGTTTCCATGCTGAACAACGGCAACATGACAACGTTTTCATTGGTCCCTCTTCTTTAGAGAAGACCAGGAAATGATGGATACACGGATCGTGTTCAAATCAATAGGCACGCAATGACTCTAAATAATAATGATCACGCCACCAAACACACATTCAAACTAAAGGAACCAGCCTGTTTGGGAAATGTAAGAAGTAGAAAGTTCAGGTATTTGTGTTCAAAATGTAAGAAGTCAAAGTAAAAAGTCGTCAGAAAAATAAAAGCATATCTGAAAAAAAGTACTGATACCAGAAAAATGTACTTAAGTACAGAAACAAAGTATTTGTACTCCACTACTTCCCACCTCTTACTGCAGGAAACTAAACGCATCCGGTACACAGATGTTAAACAATTTCTTCCTCCAACACAATTGGCTGAGTCCAGCTGACAACATCATGTGAGAGAAATGTGGGTCACCGGCTGTAAATGCCTTATTGGTTCCAGCCTAATTTCTAAGGAGCAGCGAGCGGGGGGGGAGAAGACAGAGAATCATTGTTTGTTTGTGACTCACATGCTTTCAGGGCAGCCACACACACACACACACACACACACACACACACACACACACACACACACACACACACACACACACACACACACACAACACACACACACAACACACACACACACCACACACACACACACACACACACACACACACACACACACACACACACACACACACACACACACACACACACACACACACACACACACACACACACACACACACACACACACACACACACACACACACACACACACACACACACACACACACACACACACACACACACACACACACACACACACACACACACACACACACACACACACACACACACACACACACACACCACACACACACACACACACACACACATCCCCTCTGACTTTACACACACTGCGTCCTCACTCACTTTGAGATTACACTCTAGTGACAGGATTGTACAAATCTTACATGCTGCAGATTTGTTTTCAGAGCTTCCTGTTGCCTTGATTTTTTTAGTTCCTGTTTTATTTTGCTGACCTGCATTTTCTGTTATATTTTGGTACAAAGATGCATTTATTCCAGTAATTTGGAAAGCCTATTTAGGTCAGAAAGCTCCGTCTTGCATTACATTATATTTTATTTAGCTGGCGCTTTTATATAAGTGCAATAAACCATGAAGATACAAATTCAGAATAGCAAGAAACCTGCAGGTACATTAGCTTTAAAAGGGTTATGCTAATTTGTATTTAGTTTTTCTACTGTGACATGTCTCCATGCTTTAATGTTCAAAAAGCTCTTTATTTTTCTCATACTGCCTGTGCTGCAGCACCTCTTTTCACCCTCTGTCTGAAACCAGAGCCCAGTCTGCTCTGATTGGTTAGCTGGCCGGTTCTGTTGTGATTGGTCAACCGCTTAGAGATGTCCCGCCCCTTAGCCTATCACGTACAATGTGTTGGAGCGCTAGACAATATCAGCGCGAGTGTTACATAGTGATGTCATTATTTTAGGTAGGTAACCAAAGGAGTCCAATGGAGGTGTTTCAGGCAGGGGGGAGTGTGTGGAGAGAGAGAGAAACCCCCTCTGGAGAGAACACAGAGATTCTAGCCTTTGAAGACCATTTACATGCACAAAAAACCTATATAACACACTACAGGAGAGGGAGAACCTAAAAAGCATAATAAGCCCCCTTTAACGCTGATCAACTGATTGATCACATGACTTATCGGGTGCAGGAGTTTTGTTTTCTCTTCATGGAAAGGACTGGAAATCAATGGCCATTCCTCTCAGCTGTACTGTGACTTCTCAAAGCTCTGTTAAGTCTGCAGGCTGAGCTGTGGAGGAGGAACACAGTGACAGACAGAGGAAGAGAGAGGAAGAGGACAGAAATAGTCCCTCCTACACAGTCTGGCTCCGAGAACAAGCCGACACCTCGGGGAGCCTCTGTGAACACTCTGAATCCACAACATCTGCTCATTTACATCCCTTAAGAAATATATTACATACACTTATTACCAGCTTCCTGTCATAGTATAATCAGAGGACAAAAAGGAAGTGTGTTGGGATTCATACTGACATGTTTTACAGGTTAGGATGGAGTCAGTGGGGATTTGGAAATGTTGAAGGTGGACAAGTGAGAAGCAACCTAAGCAAAAGGGAAGCATATTTACAAAGTGACATTAGAAGCAAGGACATCATTTAACAGAGACAGAATATTCTCCAGTTCTTAATTTCGATGAACAAGGATAAGCTGCAGGGAAAGAAATCACATTTACACAGCACAGATACAAGCCATTTTAGGGATAATTTGGATGTTTTGAAGTGAGGTTCTATGAGATTGACCAATCACAACAGAGCCGGCAAGCTAACCAATCAGAGCAGACTGGGCTCTGGTTTCAGACAGAGGGTGAAAAGAGGTGCTGCAGCATAGGCAGTATGAGAAAAATAAAGAGCTTTTTGAACATTAAAGCATGGAGACATGTCCCAGTAGAGACACTACATACTGATATACACCTGAACATCAGCAGGAGAGGACTCTTTAAAGTAGAGACACTACATACTGATATACACCTGAACATCAGCAGGAGAGGACTCTTTAAAGTAGAGACACTACATACTGATATACACCTGAACATCAGCAAGAGAGGACTCTTTAAAGTAGAGACACTACATACTGATATACACCTGAACATCAGCAGGAGAGGACTCTTTAAAGTAGAGACACTACATACTGATATACACCTGAACATCAGCAGGAGAGGACTCTTTAAAGTAGAGACACTACATACTGATATACACCTGAACATCAGCAGGAGAGGACTCTTTAAAGTAGAGACACTACATACTGACATACACCTGAACATCAGCAGGAGAGGACTCTTTAAAGTAGAGACACTACATACTGATATACACCTGAACATCAGCAGGAGAGGACTCTTTAAAGTAGAGACACTACATACTGATATACACCTGAACATCAGCAGGAGAGGACTCTTTAAAGTAGAGACACTACATACTGATATACACCTGAACATCAGCAGGAGAGGACTCTTTAAAGTAGAGACACTACATACTGATATACACCTGAACATCAGCAGGAGAGGACTCTTTAAAGTAGAGACACTACATACTGATATACACCTGAACATCAGCAGGAGAGGACTCTTTAAAGTAGAGACACTACATACTGATATACACCTGAACATTAGCAGGAGAGGACTCTTTAAAGTAGAGACACTACATGCTGATATACACCTGAACATCAGCAGGAGAGGACTCTTTAAAGTAGAGACACTACATACTGATATACACCTGCACATCAGCAGGAGAGGACTCTTTAAAGTAGAGACACTACATACTGATATACACCTGAACATCAGCAGGAGAGGACTCTTTAAAGTAGAGACACTACATACTGATATACACCTGAACATCAGCAGGAGAGGACTCTTTAAAGTAGAGACACTACATACTGATATGAACCTGAACATTTGCATAATATGTCCTCTTTAAATATAGTACATAAATATAAAGACAGGCAGATGTTACTACCCTGGTGCTGATATTTTAGACACATAAATACACTTATTTTACACAATATGCAGAATATTGTCACTGCTTTAACATGCCTTGAGACAGCCCTATCCTACAGGTAACTGAAGCTGTTATATATGCTCAAAGTGGCCAGACTCTCTCTACAAAAACAGACATGTTACCTTGCACAAAACTAAATATCCTATAGTTTGCATTCATTAAAGTCACTCAATAACACATACTTAGTAACTGATCAAGGAGGCAGTAGAAAAGCAAGCCCTGTTTTCTGTGAGGTAAAATAAAATAAATTCACAATGGAGTCTGGTTGCTTTGTAAGAGCATATACGGTTTGAGTTCAAGATGAGGATGGACTGTCTAAAGCAGGGGTCTCAAACTCAAGGCCCGGGGGCCAAATCCGGCCCGCGACTTCGTTTTATGTGGCCCCGCAAGAGCTTGCAAAGAATATAATAAGTTTATTATACGGTTACATGCCACTTTACAGAAGCAGGTTGCCCATAAACTACATGTCCCACAATGCATCTCGTTTTGTGACATGCGCACTGAAGAGACTTGCAATTATTTGCCCTGGACTTCTGCTTTGTAGTTAATTACTAAGTTATTATCCTATCCGATAATAATCCAATTCAGAGGCAATGATATAATATAATACATTATTTTATATATATATATTATATATTTATGTAGTTACAACCGGCCCTTTGAGTGCAACCTTTATGCGAATGTGGCCCGCGATGAAATTGAGTTTGACACCCCTGGTCTAAAGGCAAGGTAAAGCAGAGAGAACATTCTTAATATAGTGTACACTAGAACTAACATTGATTGTTTTAGGAGGGCCTTTGTTTTAGGCTGCTGCCCCCCACCCACAGTACATCTTCTTCTCCTCTTTGACTTTTCTCCTGTCTGTTCCTCTAAACTGGGGGCGTGCCAACCTCCATCTACTATAAGTGATACACTGACTGTGGAGGAGTACCTCAAACAACCTTTTAATGCTCAACATCAAAAAGTCCAACTAAGGATTATATTCAATATCAATAAACCCTGCCAATTAGTATCTCAATCAAATCAATACATGGTTCAGTCAGCCTGTAAATACTTCCCAAAGCTCAAAGTAACATCCTTAAATGCCTTTTTTTCTCAAAATTGCCATAAAAAACCCAAATATATCACATTTTCTAGAACATAAAACAGTAATTTCTAAAACATCAGAAGCTAAAATAAAAGCTGTTTAATAGGTAAACTTTGCTTTTCATGAAAACTAGCCAGCCACAACTCCCAGCTGTTTAATCTGCCTGCAGGAGCTGCTACAGCTGCTTTCTCCTAATCATTCTCACTGGGTTCGCAAAACACACAACTGAACAGAGCTGTGACTGCTGCACAAGAGATAACAGCACACACACACACACACACACACACACACACACACACACACACACACACACACACACACACACACACACACACACACACACACACACACACACACACACACACACACACACACAACACACACACACACACACACACACACACACACACACACACACACACACACACACACACACACACACACACACACACACACACACACACACACACACACACACACACACACACACACACACACACACACACACACACACACACACACACACACACACACACACACACACACACACACACACACACACACAGCTAACAGCACAAGGCCAATCGTCAGTGCTCCATGAACGCCTTCGCTGACACTCACAGGCTGCAGCTTGACCGCCGACAAAAGAGGAGCAGAAGCAAGTGTGTGTGTGTGTGTGTGTGTGTGTGTGTGTGTGTGTGTGTGTATGCCTAGGATGACGAATTCAGGTCAAGCTTGTAGTAACTGCAGCAGGGTCAGGCCGCCGTTGCCATCGTTACCACGCTGCATGCTGCAGAAAAAAGCACCCTGAGAGGAGGATGAGGAGGAGGAGGAGGAGGAGGAGGAGGAGGAGGAGGAGGAAGAGGAAGAGGAGGAGGATCACTACGGCATGAGGAATAGGGAGTTGCTGGGCGAGGGGAAGGCTGTTGCCACACAGAGAGATGGAGAGCTGCAGCCAATCACGGCGGAGCGGATGCATAATGTAAAGTCAGGGGAGCTACTGTATTTTTAATATGCAAGCTATGATGAAATATTTATCCCGGTGCAATAGTGAGCATTAAAATGCCAGCATTAACATGTCTTTTTTCTGCAGATAATGCATTGTCAAAGTCATCTGTTTCTGATCTGTTTTATTTGTTAGTGTGATTATGAGGTGTTTTAACGTTTGTTGATTGTTATGCAGGGACTGACTGGAAATGGAAATGAGCCTTTAGCTATAATCTGGCATCTCCTCTCTGTTTGAGATTTTTTTTGTGCAACCTACTTGTTTAATAAAGATATATAATAAAACTGTGAGATAGTGTACTGTACAGTAGCCTGAAGCAGAGTGATGATAGTGAGATAGAGCACCTGGAAATGTCCCAACATCCCCATCACTCACATTTAACACCCTGTTGTCACTAGGAAATACTCCTGGAATAAAAAACTACAACTGGGAAATCACAAGAAAGTTATATCACCACCACCAGCTAAATAAAAAGCCATCTTTACAACTAACTGGCTGCAAGTGACTGTGGGAATAACATATTGACATCAGAGGAAATACTAGCATGTGGTCTTAAAGCCAAACACTACAAGTCCCGATATGCACATTACATAAAGAGTAATATGTTTAGGGTGCTTGGGATGCATCGTCGCAAATTGACTGTAAATCAGTGTAATATAGAGTTAAATAACACTTACAAACATATACGATACACAGCTATCCAGCCCTCCCGCAGCTCGGTGTTCACATCATCTGTTGTTCCCGAAAAAACCGACAAGGTCCGCGGCGGAAACACACATAAAACACCGATTTAACAGCACCGGGTTGAAAAGAAATGTGAAATATTCAAGTAAAAACCGGAGACAAGAGTGTTCCCAGCGGAAACCGAGAGAGAGCTGTCACAACTGCGGCTGTGCTGGTGTTGATGAGCCATGTGGACCCCGCCCATCCAGCCGGGAGGAGGAGGGGGAGGAATCCGGCACACACTCCAAAACACACTGTAGAAAAATATCAATAACTGTGATGATCGTAAAACAGGGGTGTCCAAACACTGAGGGCCACATACAGAGAAATATACGAAGAGCTGGGCCACTTATTAGAGCTGAGGTATATTGCCTCGTAAATGAAGTTATAAATTAGCAATATCAATCAAATGTAGGTACATTTTGCTTGGTAAAACAGCCTACATCACAGCTCTCCGTTGCATTTATTTTGTTACAAAACTTGTTAGCAGCTAATCCCTTCAATCAGAAGCCTCAGCTTGCTTAAGGGGAAATATGAAAGGTATATTTCAAGCTTGTTTTGCAAAATATTGACTGAATGTATTTGAAAATTGGGCTTAATACTGTGAAATATTTAGGAAGTACAATATAAGACAATCACACCTATATGTGTGGGCCATTTTCCATATATCTGCTGAGGGCCAATTAGTATTGACAACGGGCCCTGCCATAGGCTGACAGCATAATATACTCAGGGGGTGGAAGAAGTATTCAGATGCTTTACATGAGTAAAAGTAAAAGTACCAATACATTTATGTCAAAAAACTGCAGTACATGTAAAAGTCTTGCATTCAAAATCTTACTTAAAAGTACAAAAGTATTATCAGTAAAATGTACTTAAAGTATACAAATACAAGTAGTAATTCTGCAGAAATATGGCCTCCATGTGTGTATATCATTTGTGAACATGTTAGATAATATTGTTGCATCAAGAAGCATTTTACTGCTGTAGACAAATAAAGTTCTGGTGGACTTTTTGTAGATATTTAAATAGTTACTTCAGTATTTGAGTACATTTAGTTACTTTCCACCTCTGGATATACTTGCATATTGATTCTTTAAAAACTGTTTTAAGTAAGTTATCTTCCCCTCACGTTTGTCACTTTGATTTAGCCTATACTTAAAAACATAACTAAGCATTTGTGGATTTATTATTTACACTATAAGACAGTATACTAGGAAGTAGGTAATACATAAATGATATAAGAAATGTCTTAAACAAAAAAAGTGGAAATACATGAATAGATTAAATGCAGATTTCATGTCCTCTTTAAGCACTTGTTCACATCCCTAATAAAAAAAGGGATTTTAAAATAATAATCACAGAACAATAATTTATTCAGGCGAATAAAATCTTATCGCAAGTATTTAGTTTGTCTACCAGCGTGCAACTTTATTATTAACTTTAACATGTTCAACTCTGTTACACTTAGTAGATGTACTGACCATGGTTCTTAAGGGACTGGATGGCATCTTTAGATATATAACAAGTGAACTCTCAAATAGCAATATAAGCATTAACCCTAATAATGAAATCAATCTGACTGTGAATCAGCACTGTAAAACGGTCCAAAAAAATTAATTCACATATATCACAAGACATACTCTTTATGTGAAAGGGACCCTATCGTGCTTTCTGTTTTTCCAGTTCAGTTGTTATAAAGGTTTTAGTGCATGTAAAGGGTCCGCAAAGGCACATATTCGGAAGCCAACATGTTCACAATGAGAATGCATTGCTGGTGTTGACCAGAGGCCTGTACTACGAAGCCGGATTTTCCTAACCTGGATATGTTTGAGTTAGCTGGTTGGCCCAATCCAAAACATACGCGCTCTGGCTAAACTGTACTACAACGCTGGTTATCAAGTGGATCGCTTAAGCCAGCCGTGTCCTATCTAGTTAGGTGCGCGTTCACATGAAAGTGGTGGTATTTGGAGCATTCGACCAATCTCAAACATGGAGAAGCATACTGACAGCGCAGCGTCATACTTCCTGAATGAAAAGTGAACTTTAATATTAGTCAAATATGAAGAAGTTAAACTTTAAACATCCATGACTTAAACACTTTATCCAGGATAAAAGCCACATAGCTGCACCTGCAAGGTGAATACAGCTGGTAAAAGAAAAAGCGTTTGAATGCGTACATTAACAGGTTTATAATATCACTGCCCCGTCTAAGACACGAGTGGATCTGACTTTAATTACATTTGACTCGAGTGTTTCGTCAACTTAATGTGTTGCTTAAAATAATACTTCTGCATACAGTATGTGACACTGTGAGTGTTGCACGGCCAGATACGGCTCAAGAAGCTGACTCAGATAAGGAAATATATGATACATTATGATGTGATATGATATGAATGATAATGGGACACATCGCCGTCTGCACTCACAGTGCCGCGGACTGTACTTAATGTACTCTGATCCGGTTACTTATGTTGTGGCAGATATTTATGTAAGCTTTCTTAACGCAAATGTTATAATAGTCAGATTGCTCTGAAGATGGGAGGGGATATTCTATTAATTTTCACGCTCACAGTCGGTGATTTTGGCCGGCCGTCTTTCCTGCAACGGCAGTTTAAACTGTATTTCCTTTCTCCTCCTGTCATATGAATTGATCGCTTTAAACTCCGCACACTGAGCTCTGATTGGTCAGCAGGCAGTGCTTTTATCCTGGAACCTATCCTGCTCCGGAGGCTAGCCGTTCAGAATAAGTTATCTAGCCCGCTAAAAAGTGAACCAGCTTCGTAGGACCGGAAACCCCTGAAGTTAGCTTGCTAAACGAACATCTTGATTCGTAGTATAGGCCCCAGGCCTCAGGTATTATGTTGTCATGTTCATCACCTTAGTTTCGCATTTTAGCATGCTAACATTTGCTAATTGGCGCTTTACACAAAGTGCAGCTGAGGCAGATGGGAAATGCATTAGTGTTGCAGTTATCAGGACATAAACAATAGTAGTGGATATGTTTAAAATGTGACTTATGATGGCCCTGGAGATCACCATGCTTATTACAATTCCCCCTGAGTATTAATTATTCAGACAGCATTACACGGTGTGTAAACAAAGCCTTTGTTGTTTCAGATCGATCTTCTCGACGGCCACTCAGCAGGAAGCCTGAGCTACATCAGAGAGGATAAAAGTCAACGGCTGGATTTCTCCTCAGGGACACGCCAGCGGTAAGCAAAGAATGTAAACAATGGTGCAGGCTACTCACTCAACATGAGTCTCATTCAATATTTACAAGACTTCATCCACTATGGCTGTGAATGAAGTGCATGCCAAAAGGTTGTGCACACATTTGGTTCACTTCATAAAATCTGACACGTGATCTGTAGCTTGCTAACTATAAGGTAAATACATCTAGTAATGCTATCAACATCCTCAGTTCACACCAAATACATAAGTATCCACAATGATAGCAGTGAGTAAAACCATCTTGGAATAATATAATATTTAATAATATTATGAATCCCAAATAAACAACATTGCAGAAATGCATTGTATTGTGCATGTGGCAACATCTGGGTCTCAAAAGTAAAGCTAATGTGAAAGTGTAACGTATATTTTCTACTTTCTTGTTTATTTCTAGTCTCTTTTTAATTGTTATTGTACAATGCCATGTATTTTATGCTGCTGCAACACAAAAAAATCCCAAATTGGGATCAATAAAGTACTTTCTTATCTTATCTTAAGTGTCTTAAACCTGCATTCTTTCTATTATCCAGCAGGGGGCGACTCCACTGGTTACATTAAGAAGTTGTATAGAAGTCTATGAAAACATTATCCTGCTTCTCACTTGGTTTATATCTTCAGTAAACATTAAACTAACACGTTTTTTTGCCTCAATCACTAACTTCAAGTCTTCTTCAAAACAGCATAATGTTTGTTTTGTACTCTAAGGTCCCATTTATAGTAAAATAGACGATTAAGCAGGGTATATGCTTTTGGCTGTGGATACCTTGTGGTTGGTTTCTCCCAGATGGTGTGGAATAGTCAGGAGTTTGTCTGTATTTTCGTCTCACAACTTTCACAATGTGTTTTCAGTTGGTAAATGTGAATTGTTATACTTTAGTTACAAGTATGTTGTTCATTCGTATGTACTTGACCCCCACCACACACTTCTGGTTCCAAAAAAAAGATTTCGATGGCCATAAACCAAAATGTCAACGAACCGAATGGCAAACTTCAGGCGTCCAAAAACCGATGTCCATCTATGATTTAGATTTTAAATGATTGTACAAACCAACTAATGATATGAGTTTTTTTAGAGCACTGTAGTCCTTCAGTGTACATGCAGCGTTTCAAATCAAAGCACTTTTCATACAGAAAAAAATAACATACTGCTTCTCAAACAAAAAACAAAAATAAAAACAATACTTCCCTAAATGTAATTAAAAGCCAAAGTCTTCAGTTGGGCCGTAATAATAAAAAGATGGCTCACCGTGGGTCTTTATTTTCAGTTTTGGTCTATGATAAAGGGTGTGATCTTTTTGGACAAAGTCTCATCAAGCCTCTATTTGGATAATTGGAAAATAGATAGAAAAACAAAGGCACAATTCTGTTCTAAAAAGACACATTTTAAGGAATGATTCATTAACTCTTATGTTACCTTCGGCTCCACTTTAAAATGTATTCTGTACACATAATAAAGACGATAATGAGTTCATTTCCACTAACATTAGATCTCCATTACCAGATCCGACAGCAACCAATAACACTTTCAACGTACGGACATGTGAGTATAGTGTTACGATAGACTGGGGGCGTGATTAAGTGTAGTGCGGTCACAAGGGAGATGGAAAATGGAAAAACATGCTCCACATCAGCAGTATAACAGCTAAAACCTGCAGTTATGGAGTGTGTCCATTTGTGGAACAATTTGCACCAAAGCACTTTGTACAATTGATTGCAAACCTCAACCGCAAAGTGGTCACACTCTCAGCTGAGAGAGCCTCTTTGTTTCTTAGATTATCTGCCAAGTAACTGAATCAGAGGGCGGTTATTGATAGCCTGACATAATGATGAGAGTTGATCAAGAAGAATTATTATCTAGAAAGATAGTCAGAA